TGGAACTAGTTTGGAATTGAACTGTAATCTACATTGTCTATAATGGAGGTGACTGACTTGGTCCCAGAGTTTTTACCCAGTTGGGTTTCTCCTTCATCAAACTTTGTGTTATATTTATTGCTTTCCAAATATTACAACTGCGATAATTCAACTTAGGGAAATTGGATTGTATGCTTAACCATCTATAAACTAATTAAAAGTGACTTGTGGGTTTAATTAGTGTAATTCTGAACGTAAGGCCAAACGTAGTTAGTAAACTAAGTAATTTTCATGATCAATTATATATTTAGTATCTGATAAATTGTATCGGGGGTCTATAGTGCATGCTAAAGGAAATAACATAGGCAAGTCTCTCCAATATTTTCTAAACTTTAATTCTATAGAATATATAATTTCACTAAATTTTGGTCATTTTTGTTTTTGTGAAAAGCCTTTGCAATGATATAAAGACATTAAAGCACCATACAACTAGTGAGATAATACACTCAAGATAAAATATTTGTAAATTCAAAAAATTTTGTCAAAGCTTAAAGCCAATTAGACTTATTCAAAATAGTGTCATCATTGTTTCTAACATGCCTATTGTTATCAAATTCAGTTATTAAATGTTAAAATCCTTTCCATAATTTTAATAATAAGTAAGTGGAGTTCCATCTATGTCCTACATCACTAACAAATATTTTCGTATTCATCACCCCAAATTTGGCACAAAATTCCTCGAAAGCTTGTTTCGTGTTAGGTGAAATCATGATATATATATTAGTGTGCATCCCTAATTCTTTTAATTTCATTCTTACTTAATATGTTTCAAATGATTTTACACAATTAAATTAAGAATATGACACACACAACGAATATGAAATAAATAACCATCGAAATCGGGCTTCAGTGCCCTACACAATTTATCGATAACTGCTTATTAACACTAGCTTTGTCAAATGTAAAATAACGAATTTTACTCTCGCAAAAATATTCTCTAATAATGCTCATATTAGTGTTGAATATATTGCTAGCGCTGTGAGGAAATCCAATTATTTTAAAAGCATTAATTTTTTTATGCGTACACCAATGTGGGTCTATTGTCTTTTAGGATAGATTGGATTTTGTTACTCCACAAGCAACACCTCAATCACATATGAACCAACAAGCATAACTTCTCCTTTTATTATTGAACTATTTAATTCCATGTGTAGAATGCCTATTTGGTATCAATTGATCTACTTGTATTAGAATTGAACCTTACTATGTAGACCCTTAATCAAAACGTTATTGAATACGGCACTAGACTAAAATATGATCATACAAACTAACATCTTTAAAAAGTAAATAGACATTTTTCTACATATAAAATACATGAGTAGAGTAGGAACTTTATTTGTGGTCACCATACTTGAGCTGTCGGCATATTTAGTATTATAACAATGAATGAAGTACCATGATAAAATATATATATATATATATACCTTCACCACTCTCCAATATATAAATATTTCTCTTGTGGAGGGTCGTGATATTTTGGTCAATATTGGATGGACAAGTTAGCTCCCATTAGGGACATTTTAGAGAAATATTCCTAGGTACGAAATAAAGTAGAAATAAAATAA